GAAAATCAGTGTTTGTCCCAAAGGACAGGAAGAAAAAACAATGTGAAAAGCATCCTGGATAGGAAGTATTCCTAGCAGGCTCAAAAAAAGCATAGCAGTTCCAAGTTCTTTCTTTCATCCCCCAACAACCATTTTTCCTTACAGGAATAACTCACAATACTGAATGAAAACCCTCAGCAAGCTGTGCTCATACAGTGCTGGATACCATCAGACAGCACCAAGAGACAGCCTTGCCCTCAAAGCCTGATGGTCAAACTGCATTTGCTGGTTTGAGGGCTCTGAAGATGAAAGCCCGTTGACCATGTCATAAGTACCATCCATTCAGGAGCAAGAATTTCAACATGGAGCACTTTTGGCCATTCAGTACCAGTGACTTTCTCCTGAGGGGCAGAAGGAGTAGCCAATGGGCAGCGTAAAACCCTGTCTGAAGAAGGAAGCTTATATGGGAGTCTATGGCCAGTCTGGGTTACTACGTATAATGCAGACACTGCAGCAAGTGACAATTATTTTGTAAATTAAGCTCTCCCTTGTTAGCAAACTTGATAATAGTAGTAAAAATATTTCTTTATGGGAAACTCTTGTGTACCACAGAAGATGGATAGGAGGCTAAAAGAAAAGGCAACTAGTAGAAGAGCACAGTAATACATATTTTTTTTTTTTTTTACTACTGATTTGCATCATAGTTATATAGCTTGCTGGTTGTTTCTCCAGCTATAACTTCCTTGTTTATATTCCTAGGGCAGACATGGCACTGATTTCTCCATTCCAGAACTTGCATACTGTCTCAGCATTTGTGTCTGCCTTGCTCTGCCCTGCTGCTTCCCACAAGTCAGATATCATCTCACCCAGCACACCGCCGTGCTCTGAAGTGAGCATTTCTGAAATACAGGGCTCCGGCTGTGGTCAGTAACTGCAGCAGAAGTAGTCAGAATAAAGCAAGTGGTTTGTGTAAAAAGCTGGATATTTGGGATATTGGTGTTCTGGGGGACAAAGGTGAAAGAGGACAAGAGGACTTGTCTGGCCTTTTGTAAGGTTTAAACACCCTACCCACCCCTACCACATAGCTGACATTTACTTTCAGTACTTTTATTTTATGTGAAGGTGAAAATAGCAGGGAGCTGGAAGCTGCATTCTGAGAGGAGGTAGCTCAAACTGCCACAGCTATAACTGCAATCCTTAATGGACAGAGATGGGCCAACATGTTATGCGAGGATTTTAGTGAGAAACAGAGGAACCTCTTTTGATCTGTACCCCTCACTGGGGAACCTGCTCACATACTTGTGAGCACTGGTGGCACCAACAGCACAAACGTGCATCCTGCTGCTGCCACGCACGTGGGGATGCTGACCACATCCCTTTCCCCGGGAGACCAGGACTTTGGGGTGGGAGACCACATATCAGCCCATTACTTCATTACAGTGATTACTCTGGGGTGCGTATTTCGCCACAGCTAAGAGGTGGTTCCACAGCTTCACTGCCTTCAGCAATCTTGTAAATGCAGTCCTGGAGTGAGGCAGCAGCACTTACAAACTCCGTATGCTAGAAAAGTTCTGAAATCTCTTAAAACCACTCTGAAATTGAATTTCCACCCTTTTTACTCAGCTTTGCTTTTGCTCTCCCACTTCTGACATGCTCTATTTGTAGTTGGAAGAAGAAAGAAAAAAGCAACAACGGGAAGAAAATTGTTGTGCAGAGATGAACCTCAGCAATGTAATCCTTCTATGTCAGTGAAAACTTACCCTCCTCTTTTGTTATTGGGATAATAAACCCTTCACAAGGCTTACGCTACCTGGCAACCACCAACAAAACAAGAGTTTCTGTTGGCTCTGGTCAATGCTCTGCTTTGTTCCAGGCTGCAGACCAGTATGAGCTTGGCATCCTAATCTGTTTTAGGTGAGGTTCTCCATCACCCCTTCCTTTCACTTGCCTTATTAAATCCCACATCAGGCATGGCTCTTGTGAACCAATCCCCACTGTGCAAAATTTGGGCAGGCTACCAAGCCTGTCATGCATGTAATTCCTCACCTGTTCTGGATCCTGAATACTGCATGAGCCTTCCTCTTATTTCAGGTAGATTTTAGCCTGTGAGTGCTGCATGGTAAATAGATAAGCTACCAAGAAGCAGTATTGCTTTCATGTTCCTGGTTCATCCTGTGGCTAATAAATGTTAAACTTGCTGACACTATAAAACAGTATCCAGGGGGACAGTTGATAAGCTGTAAGTATTTATATCAGCACAGACAAAGTTATAAGTCCCACTATCCAAATGCATCAGTCTATATGCAAAAGCCTGAAACTATAATTATCCACTGTATCTTAATGAGACTAAAGGTTAATAATGCTGTGATGTTAAATGTTTCCACAGCTTTGTATCTCATGTCATACGTTTGGCCTAGTTTGACTCAAACTCTGTGCCTTCCTTATTTACTGCAGTACTGCCAAGTTACAGAAATAAAAGTCTGTGAAAAAATGCTATGAGAAGAGAAAACAAGCTTGCTATTTCTGAGATTATATTAGCCTTTTATGTTGGAACAGATTTTATTTCCAATAAAAACCTGTAGGTCTTCTAATGGCCTACTTCTGCTCCTAATTATCCCAAGCATACACCACAGTTAAATCAAGACTGCACATTTGTAAATTGAATCTGTAAAACTTTGCATGGAACAGGAAAGACTGCCAGGTAGGCAGGGGAGGAGTAAATTCTGTTTTTTTTCACCTCCCCAGATTTTTTTTTAGTCCTTAGCTTATAGATAAATTAGAGAAAATAGACACATTTTTCAAATGTAAACAGCTCAGAGAAGATTTATGTTCCATCTCCAACTTCAGTCAAAAGGAAACAAGGATTTATAAGGAATGAGATGAAGATAAATGCCAAAAAATGTCATAATGTTGTAAGATGAATGAATGAATGGGCTGGCCTCTTAGAACAGCATGCACAGTACTGCTTATCCTAAAAAAAAAAAATGGCTGTTGAATAACCAAAAGCTTTTCAGAAGGCAATAACAGGGGCAGTCAAAGATCTAGAAATGCTCAGGTTAAAGTGATAAAAACCCCTGAGCTTTTTGCTCTAAGGAGGGGCAAGAAACAGGGGATGAAAAAGTATAATAAATTATGAAAAAATCAAGGTGTCGAAATTCTGTTCTTCCTAACTGACAACACAGCAGCAAGGGACAACTGGTGGCTCTGAAAGGTGATGGCTGTAAAACTGTGAGAGTGGGTGAACAGTTCTCGAAGATCAAGAAGCTCGGTGTCCCAGTGCACTGGTGAGCACAGGGGAATTCAGAGGGAGACTGGCTACTGAGAATAAAGTTACAAATAATTATGCAAGTTTAAGAGCGATTAACGGCTATATGCTTCAGGCCTTAAACCAGTCTGCAGTTATTAGAGATTAGGGTGGGATTGAGATAGGAAAGGTTATTGAACAGGGCTCTTGCACATCCTTCCACATGGTCACCCCTGGGGAGGGGACGCTGGAGCATGTAGGTGCACTGCCTTGTTTCAGGTGAGAGTTTTTGTCACAACAGAGCCCTTGCAGTTCACATGAACACTAGTGGGACTCTAAGGGCTTGCTTTGGAAATCGGGCCATTCATTAAGGTACCTGGCCTAGAAATTCTCAGTTTCTATTAATATTTGTGTGACAATATCCTGGAAGCAATTCAATACCTTTGTCATTTGCTTTCTACTTCTTTTGTGGACACTTATTTGGTTTATGGGATTTTGCTTCCGAATGTGAGCCCTTTAGGCTTCACTTCTTGCTCACCAATAGTACCAAGATACAGCAGTCACAGACTTCAAGCCGCCTTGGCAGCACAAGGTGTTGGCTTTGCCCTGACCTGCTAACAGTGTTGGGGTTTTCTTCTCAGAAGAGTAATAACCCACTCCTAAAAGTGTCCTGCAAGGGGCCTGGTAACTCACTGCAGAGCTGCTCTGCGTGGGCCACTTCTCACATGGACATGCTCCACTCATCTCTGACCTACCTCACCTCTGGGCTGCTCAGTTAATGCAACAGTAATTAGTGCATCAACTGTCTACATTAGAAAACAATTAGGCCCTGATGTCTCTTCTTTTATCTTTACCTTCTCCAGTAGGGGAAAATTATTCAGTCAATTAGCTGTTGGTGCTGCACCAGCAGCTTTTTACTTGAAATCCCAGATAGACAAGTGGGGCCAGGTTTTATTATTGCTAATCAGTATGTCTTGGAGTACAATGTCAAAGAAATCCATGTTCCCTTAAAAGTATCATTAATAACATTGGTTGAACTAAAATAAGAGTTCCTAAAGCTAAAAATACTAAAATAAGATTTAATAGAACACATTGAAATTGATCGCATTATATTCCAAATATTATTTCAAGCTTCACCGTAAAAGAGGGACCATTAACTGAATACCTAACTGAGGATGACAGTTATAATCAGGAAAAAGCTGATTAAGGCCACCGTGATTTGAAAGACTGCAATATCATTGTTCATTTTACAAAGCAGCAACGCTATGGACAGTGACAAATTGTTGTAAATACAGTGCCTCAACCACTGGATGCTATGTGTTCAGTTAAAAAAATACTTAAAATATGGATTTTTCCATCTGTAATTGGGCAGGGTGCTCTGCAGTGCAAACATCAGCAGCATTGGTAAAGATTGGCCAGGAGTGACCTAGTGTCCTTGGCTGCCGCTGAGCCATGCCACCAGGCAGGAACGTGTCTGCACTGGGGTAAGGGAGGGAAGAAATCGGCTGAAATGAGAATTTCAGCTCTCGCTTTGCCACCGCTCTATTAGTGGTTTTTGTGATTGAAGCAAGGAATTCCTAAGTGTGCATGGAAAGATGATCCTATTCATTTTAAACATCTCTCATCTGACTAACTCACTCTGTAATCTAAAATTAGGGAGTCCCAGAGGATTATAATATCTTTTGGTCTTCTTTTCTGCTGATTTAATAATATTCGATCATAAGAAGTTACACAAAGGTATCAAGCCCATTACGTCCATAACTCAGTTCAGTCTCACCTCTGCTTGTCTGCCTCCTCGTTAGTCAGCTGTGAGATCAGTTCAACGCGTCAACAGCCTCAGGTGTTGCATCATTTGCCTAAGAAGGACAGCAAGAAGGAACGAGAATGTTTTACTGGAGGTTGCATCAGTCTTTCAGGTTTTTCTTTAAGAGTTAGAACAACGGCTAGCTATGATCAGACAGAAGCCCCTCTATACACCTTCTTGCCTTATATATATACCATATCAGATGTGTCCATGTGGAAACCTACACCTCAGTCTCTGTCCATTGCACAGTCCATTTAGTTTGGAGAACCACAGCATTTCTCACATGCTGTGGCAATGTCTGGCATTTTACACCATCCCAGATTACGTCCTACAAAATAAGGGTGTAGGAGGTTTTGGAGACAAATTACTGGAATGAAGAACAAAGTACTCCAGGCTCTCCCTGGAAGTTCACAGGACCACTGATAAGAGACTCAACTTTATTCCTGAGTTTTAATTACCAGAGCAAGGTTAACCTGTAGCAGACTGATAGCCTCTTCTAGCAGGCAGTTATACCATGCACAGCAATTCTTAGATGAAGGACAGAAGCCCTACTTCTGTTCCTGAAGTACAGAGGAAATCCGGGAGACGGAGCATGGCTTAGGTTTGCTTACAGGGAGGGCTGAGGAAATGTAGGTTTAGTTTTTTTGTTTCCTCCGCTGATTGCCACATGCAAAGAAAAGGGTAGCAAGTGATGCAAAAGCCAGCATCCTGTGGAGAAAGATTCCTGGTGGTGTACACTTGGCAGTAGGGTGGGGAGGAGGGAAATCCCCAAACCCTGTTAACTCCTCACTATTTATTTTATAACTCTTTGTTGTCATTTGAATATACAAGTTTTCCCTTCCCTTGATTTTTGATAGGGCATGGTCACCTACTCTGTATTTTGGCATTCCCAGTCCTTTGTCATGAGAATGTCAGCAGGGAGAAAAAAACACTCTCTTTTTCTTCCAGTGTTTTTTGGCTAATCACCTGAAATAGTGGGACAGGGACTGCCGGGGGAGCTTTGCATTGGGGCTAGCTGGTGCGACATGCCTCTGGGCAGAGAGAGAGCCGAGGGGGTGCGTGAAACAGTGGGGAGAGAGGGAAAGGGATTGATACAAATAATTTCTGTCCCTCAGTGGTTGAGGCCTGGAGGAATGCCTAAACCTCAGAAAGTGGGAGGCTTTCATTCATTGTAGACTACCTAGAGCTCCTGGTTGGCCCTCGGCAGCTGAAATATGGCACGGCCCAACCTCATCTTCTGTATGGAAAGACATGGCACCTTCAGGTATCATCACTGTATTAGACCAGACGCCCATCTCCAAGCCACATACTTCCCAAGACATACTCCCTTTACACTCTTCCAAGCTCACTCCCTAATCCATGGGACCACAGCATCGTGTCATCCAGTGTACTCCCTGATTGACATGCTGAAGACCAGAGAGGTTTGTATGGTGATGTAGTAGCTCTCAGTGACATAGATGATATCCAAACAAATGAGCTCTCAGGTGCATAAGTCCATCTTCAGGTCATAATATTTGCCAAGTTTTTTCCTCCAGCTCTATCAGTTATTACAATAAGAGATTTTAAATCTTCCTACAGTTTCTGCCTCGTGGCCTCAGGCCATTGCTGCCAGTAACAACACAGCTAAAGGATATTGCAGACAGAGCTGCCACATGTAAGCTGCCCAACACCTCTCATAAAAAAAGCACAACTCTTGGGCCATTTCTGCAGGGTTGGGGTATCATTTTAAAATGTTACATCTAAGATGATCCAACACAGTTGGGCAGCCCAAGACAGTGGCCACAGAAGTTATCAAGGACTTGTCAGGGAAAATAAGTGTAGGACAAGGTCTGGGACAAAAAAGTCTATGCCTGCTTCAGTGCACCCCCTCCCAAATCTAAAATGAAGTCAGGATACCCAAACCTCATCATTCCCCTGATATGCATCAACGTTTGTCCAACTCCTGGCAAAGGAGCCCCAAACTCCTAGCACTAATCAGCCTGGAGAAGGTCAGGTTGCCACTGCTGTGTCAGCTCACTTAGGTACTGAGCTGAGTGATATACCAGCTGGCAAATCACAGAGACATTAAATTTACAGAACTGAATTTTTACTGTTCTTTGGACTGTTTCTATTTCTTAGATTATAATAGATGCTTGCTTGTAGCATAGGAATGTTTTAAATTCCTCACAGAGGATAAGGCTAATCAGCCACCTTAATCCTTATGCTAAAGGAGATTGAATTATTATATAGCCTTCAATAAGATATTACATACTAATTCCCTGCCATTCCTGCCTCATTCAACACAAAGAATGAAAAGTGCTCACTTAATCAGCAGTCATTCAATATTTTGTTTTCTTCCTGTCACTCAGCATGTGGCCCTTGGCTTTCCATATGGTACACTGTTCAGACCCCATCGTGGGGACAAAATTAATCATTTCCTTAAGGCTTCATCCGCACTGCATATTGCTACAATGTCTAAGGGCTTTGAAATTATTAACAAACTTATGAAATTCCCCTGAAAATGCTGTATGACCCTCATTTTACAGAAAGGCAGCTGACACAAAGAAAGATGTATCTTTTTTTGAAAAGTCAAAAACACGTGTTCAGAGTGTATATTCTGCTAATTTCAGTTTAAATTTTTAGGGTTTAATGCTTCAAATGAGACTGCAGGTGGGCATACCCGGAACGCCAACTGGGAAAAACTGGTAGCTGCAAAACCTCTGCATCACCTCGCAGGAGCTCCATGGCATGGGCTGGGGGGGATGCCCTTCTCTAGGACCACATTCAGCTGCCAAAGGCTCCTTTCCCCTTCTACTAATGCCTGCCTCATTCATCATTTGCCTTCTGACTTCTGCTGTTAGAGAAAAGGATGTAGAAAACAAGGATTCAGAGTGAATGGGGGATGCATGGAAGGAATCTGGAAGCCGTCTAGTCCGCTCCTTTCCTTTGATGCAGAGTTGGCCCTGCCTTACCCATAACACCAGTCTCATGATCTGACACCAAGAGTTTCTCTCTTTTTCCAGGTGGCTCTATGCCAACATTTTGCCGATTGAAGAACTGTTCACAATTTCTTCATGAAGTCTAACCTACATCTCCTCGATATGACTCGAGCCTTTTGTCCTACCCACTGGAGACAGAGAGAGCAAGTAAGGCCTCCTCTGGAGGAACTAGTCTCTTCCCACAGCTTCAGCTTCTCACCAGAGCCACTCTGCGTTCAAAATCCTGCTAGAAATGTAGTGTGTGATCACATGAGAATTGTGTCCACAATATATGGGGATGGGATGAAGGGAGGAGCAAATTAAGATTTGACAGGCATCCTTGATGCTTGCATCACCTAGCCAGGTCTTTGCTGACCACTATGACAATGTTCTTCTAGCATCATTCTTTGTAAGTCTGTTTACATACACACCTATTTTAGTAAGCACCACGCAAGTTCAGAGACTGATGCAATAGGTATCACTGCAGCAGCTAAACAGCACAGATCTGGTGACAGCCCTTCCCAAAAATGTAACCAGAGTATTGTTTGAAGTTCTCAAACTCACTCTTTGATGCTTTAAGCACGTACTTCCTACAATGCTCTTAAACAAAGACTCAATTAAATTTATCAGCCACTGACATTCACATGTTTGATGTTGATTAGCAACTCTGTGTTAAATTAAAATTTATGTCCAAGCTATTCCACCATGTGGCTGGCTACAAACTGCCCAGAAGCAATTGTGCTCTTTTAATCCTACCTCATTTTCTCAGAACAGAGCTGAAGTTGGTGGAGGCTCTCTGGGAAGAGTCTTTAATGCTTGCATTAGCAAAGTTCCATGGAAAAGAGTAGAGCAGATCCTTATAACTAGCAGGATAAAAAAAATCACTAGTCGTTGGATTTCAGTGCAGCTGGTACCATCTGGTGTAGCTCAAGAGATGGTCTGAATACGTTCAGCCAGCAGGATGCTCCTCTGGCAAGAGCTTAAGAATTCAGTAGGAAAACCGACCAGTTATTCGAGGTGATTTTTATGAATGCCAGATAGTAAGGAACAGCTTGCAAAATCAGTCTTTAAATCAGCTGCCCCAAGGCTCCCTGCCACTACTGTATGTTTCTTCAGCTGCAGAATGAAATAGCAACAAGTTCCCCTCTGTGAGGCTCTGCTCAGTGGAGATCTTAATGTTGATTGCTTCATCCTGCCTGGGATGAGTCTTGCTGTGAGGGCTGGACTTTTGCCTGGAGAACCATGCTTATTTGTGAGAGGGTGTACTTTCAGCTTGGTAAAAGCACCTATCAGGCAGGAGTATATATGTGTTAAGGACAGGAGGGGATAATTAATTTTAAAGGTTTAATTGTATAGAAAGAGAAATAATTCATGTAGTTCACTATGCTAAAATGAAGTTGAGTTTGGTTTAGAAAATAAAACAAACAAAACTCCTAGAGCTTGTGTGTACAGTCTGTATTCAGTCTTTCTAGGTATTTATGTTCTGTGATACAGTTTCAAAAGCTTGCACTAGTAATTTGATTGCCCCAGAGTCATACCAAACACTTAACCCATCAGCACATACCTCAACAAGAACCTTTCTACTTCTGTATTATCATCCCACACATGCAAAACAGCTGGTATTCCAGATTCCCTCAGTTAGCAGAGTGGAAGAAAATTCAGATTTTATCAGTACAGATTAATTTTGTTAATACTAAATAGCCTGAGGGTACAAGCCATAAAGGAAAAAGGGGAAAGGAGAAACGGCCTTTTAACAATATAGATTGAAAACTTTTCAAATTATCTGAAATAATCCATTTCATTGTTATTCATAGAAAACTCTCTAAAAATTCACACCTATAGGTGTTTACAACAGAAAGCTAGACTAGTAGTTTTGGCAGTTCGGTGCTGAGCAGCTCACCTTAAAAAAGCTCACCAACAGCTCCTAGCCTTGATATTGGCACCCACTGAGTGTCTTGCAAGTCCTCCTGGAAAGGGGTGTGTGTGGGAAATCAAAAAGGAAAATTTAAGCTTAATACTGAAACAATTCACAGTGAAACACACCATAGAATAGCCTCCCTGAAAAGCTAGTAGGCCTTCAACCATCCGAACCATT